CCGGTCGCGCGCGTAATTTTTTTACGCATGTGGTTATAGAAGTTAGGATTTGTTTTTTCCAGGTTTTAGTGTTAGTGGCATGAGGGTCTTTTCTCCTTGTTTATGGGGAATTGAAACCGTCCATGCGCGCGTAATTTTTTTACGCAGATGTTATAACAGTTAGGATTTTGTTTTTCTTTTGGTTCTAGTTTAGCTGGTGTTTGGGCCATTCCTTGCTTGCGCGGTTGTTGAATTGATTATGATAAACTTAATAATTTTCACCGTTTCTGATACTACTACAAGTTCCATGGATTATTGTTTGCAGATAATTTTTTTATTTATTTGGAGGGGATTATTGTTTTCTTATTTTTCTTCTTCATATATGGTACCATACGCAATTCGTATGCTACAATTGTATATATATTGTATGATTTATTTGAGTGTGTACCATGCGCCATTCGCATGCTACAGGATTGAATCTGTTGTACCATACGCTATTCGTATGTTGGTAGATTGAATGTTTTATTTTTGACAGTGTTTATAATACAGATATTTTTTTTTGCACCATACGCTATCCGTATGCTGCTGCTTTGCTGATTTCTTTGAGATATTTTTTTTTTGCACCGTACACTATTCGTATGCTGCTGTGTTGCTTTATTTTTTGGAATTTTTTTTATATACAGTATGTAACATAAGCAATTCATATGCTACATGTTTTTCTTTTATTTGGGACACTATTTTTTTGGCTTCTCTTCACCGTACGCAACACTTCGTATGCTGGAAGGATGTCAACTGTCACCAAGAATCTCATCAATGGAGTCATCAATTGCTCAGAGAATATCTTCAGATGTCAACCAATGGAACAACCAGCTAAATAAATACAATAAATATTTAATTTCATAAATGCTATAAATGCTGTTAATTCCATAAGAAGATTGCTTATACTATAATGCTTAGTTAGGCTTATGAATTATTAATTTTTTTTGCATGCATACAGTAATAGAAGTGGGACACTTCTTAGGGAGAGGGGGAGTAGTGTAACCTTTGAACTTTCAAGGACTCGATTATGGGATGTTCCCGCGGAGTCTCGCTCTCTCGTGGGGGTTCGTCGACTAGCCAAGCTGCGTCTTGTTGGAGGCTCACACTTTGTATAGAATAAAACCGTTAACATCCAGCTTACTTGGTGTCTGGCTCATTCATTGAAGTCCGAACTCATCTAGTAACATCCATAGAGAGTTACATTAACATAATTTAAACGTTTGCCACATAGGGTAGTAACGGGATCACCTGGAGTTTTCGTGCCTTTGAACAAAAATACATACACATCGACTTTTTACAGATTAAATAAAATATCATGAGTAGAAGCATGAGCTTCGCACACATTAAGTAGCCTTTAAAGCCCACATAAATATGGAGATAGTAATACGATATCATCAGCATAACTACAGTAAGGTGATTAAAAACCATATCTGCATGTTGACATCCAACACCACGATTATTAAGCTTTTCGTTTAGAGAATCATATACATTGTATAAAAGCGGTGACATTTCGCCTCCATGTCAGACCCCATTAGAAACAGAGAATTCAAATGAGTACTTGTTACCCCGCTGCACAACGCTGCACAAAGAGTGTCAACCGCAAGGTCAATTAAAAGAAATTCAAAGACTTTTGATGCGACGCACACAAGAGCAATTGGTCTATAGTTATCTTTACTAGTGACATCACCTGATTGGACTTAACTATAGGCACTAATATCACCTTGGTTATATCGAGAGGCATGTGACCATGAGACAGCATTGAGCTAAAGCAGATACTTAGCAACGTACTAAGACTATAATATCTAACTTAGGCTATGTTCACACACACACGGCGTAAGGCTGGCTTAAGCTTGGGGTAGCGTACGCCTTTGTGTGGAATAGCTTACGCCTGGCGTAAGCCAAGCCAGTCTTTCGCCGTGTGTGAACATAGCCTAAAACTAGTAATATCCTTGTATAATCTCGGAACGTCTTGGTAATCTTTACCAGCCTCGCTGAGGCTGGTAAAGCTTCCGAGATGTAGCATGGATGGATCTGCGCATGCGCTGGAATTTCAACGCAACAACAATCTACTGTACTGTGGTGGTGAGTTCAACAGTCCATCTGTGACAGGTTCTCAACTAGGCCTAGGTCTATATTGCAGTAGGGGGGGAAAAATGATTCATTGAAAAAACCCTGAATAAATTTTACACGACCTTGGCATTACCTTACAGATGCGTGTGAATGCTTTATATATCGGTAGGAATTACTCGGGAGATGGCTCGGTTACGATTTGGTACTTTTTGTTAAATTTAAGAGGGGGAACTTTTTTGGTCCCAAAAGACAAAGGGTTCCCTAAATAATAGGGGTTTTACTGTATTAAGCTAAGAAACCCTACAGGATCTAGGACTAAGGCCCGGACTGACAGAGTATATATAAAAAAAAGTATGCCTAGGCCTATGGATCACTTCCTGTTTGAATTGATACTCCCTCGTTCAAGGAAACCGTCCATTCCCTAGTCCCTATGCCTACATTCTTCTCCTAGGCCTTGACGTCTAAACTAGTTTGCTCGGCTCTGAAAAGCGAGCTACCCTACAAGACTAAGACTAAATTACCACCAGTCTAGTTTAATAAGATTAAAAGCAAATAATCTCACCAAAAATGTGGTAAACACCAACAGTACGTTAACTTTCGATGTCGTTTTCGGCTAATTGTTTCTGCAAATGCCCATCTTCAGAGGGCGCACACTTATGTGGTTCCCGTATATGTTCAATTCCGGGTACTGCGTCTTGTTCAAGTACACAATTTTTTCTCTTTTTTTAATATTAGTACACATATCATTTTAAGTAATTATTTTTATTTATGTATCATATATAAGGAATACACACCGATAATGATGTGTTTAATTACCCTATACGATTTAACATCAAAGAATTTAATAAGGCCTGCGGTACTGTACCCAGGGAGGTATGCGGTAGTGACCTACGATAATAAATTTGTACCGGTTTACGGTACAAATAATTTTTAAAACGGGATCTAAAGTATAGCCCGCCATCATGGTAAAA